TCCAATAAAAATGAAGAAGAACTTTGAATTAAATTGAGTTTTTTCACACACAAAAATGGCAAATAGAATATTTAAAAAATTTTTCTAAAAACGCAGTAGTTGGTATATTTACTTAAGAAAACGGATTCAAATTATTTTAAGAATCCTCTGAGTTTCAATCTCTTGTCACTCAACTTAAACTGGCCAAGGAAGTTAAATATGTCTGTCAGCAGATACGAACTTAAAATCTGCTGAAAGAGCGGTTTTATTTTTTCCATTTTTATGGATTTCCAGTTTGTGCATTTTTTCCTGAAAAAAATATGTTTAAATATTATATTAGCATTTCAACTATTCCATTCAATGTTTTGTTTGTATATACACAACTTGTGTAAACTCCTGTTCTTAGCGTCACGCATAAAAAGTTGGTGCGGAACGCCTTGGCTGGGAACAATTCTGGTTTTTGTTTGTGAGGGGGAAACAATAGCTAAACGCCTGCACAACTGGTTGGATTGATATGCGCTGTTGCGGATGGCTTGAAGCTGAAAGAGTCCAAAACACCGATCGTTTAAAGATCCGAAAACAGTTTTACCATTTTTAAAAAGTTACATTTTCCTTATGAAACTTTTCTTGATTCCTCAGGTATTTAAGTCACAGCTAAGTTGGATTGTTTTTAGCAGCCTTGATAAAATTTCAAAGCGCATCGAAGGTTTGTTGGTTTGGTTCGACGTCGACATTTTGGGGCTTTTACAATTTTGGACGGCTTGGCTTAAATGAGAAAGAGAATGAGCGGCCTGGTGCCGTTCCCTCTCTGGCTGGGAGGCCGCGCCCCTTCCCGCAATACAATCAAACTTCAAAGATCCTTCTGCCGCCCCCTTGCCTCTAAATACTTCATGAATTGCTCGCTTACAAAAGGGGGTGGGCTCTCACGGACACGCGGAGACACTTTTACACTGGTCTTTTTTAGCCGAATCTAACAAAAGGCCACTCACACAATACAATAACACAAGAAAAAACTTTTAAATAACAGACACAAAAAACTTTCAAAACTCAAACAAAATAATGAAAAACATACTTTTTTTCACGTTTGTGACGTAATAAATTTAAGATTAAGAAAAAAATTGTTAACCTTGAAGCTTAGTTAAGTTAGGACAACTGGGTTTGAAAACACTAGCTCATAAATCAAAATGGCGAATGAATAACATAACACATGATCCTCGAGCACTCTCTTTCTCTCTTAAGTTCCTCCCACCGCAATTTTAGCAAATTCTCATTTCGAATTCAGACCACCGCTCTCCACTATTATAAAGAAAAATTGCTCGAGGAAAAAGAGAAAAGAAAAGGAAAAGTGCGAGAGAGAAAAAAGCGTGAACTAACTTGGACCGGCTCAGTATAAATTATTAAGAGGCACTTCTAAACTGCGATAGCTCCTCACTTCGCTAGAGCGAAATTTAGATGCAAAAAAGCACAACGCATTGAAAAGCAATAGAATAGAAATCATAAAAACTGCTTGGCCCGCATATCGGCTTCAAATCAATTTTAAAAAATCTATATTTTCATTTTTTTTGTTCTTCATTCAATAAAAGCATTTTGTTTATTAATAATTATTTTATGAGAAGTATGAGCTTCAAAGCGGAACGAATTGGGAATTGATGGTTTCAGCTTCAACGCCCGCCTTATCCGTTATTCGTGGATTTAATAAAGCGCAATAATTTTTCGCGGTCAATTTCGACATCAAAAAAAACCTTCGGAAAATGAATTTAGAGCTCTTTTAAAGACGTTTACACGTCTTCGCAAAAAAAAACTTCTTCATTTCTAATTTTGTAGCCAGTAGTCTGTTTTTAGACCGGTCTGTGGAACAATTTCTGATTCTGGCTGAGCACTTAAAACTGAACGATACTCCAACTCCAGTGGCTCTTATCTCCGGAGACTGGAAAAGTGGAAAGTATCTCTCTCTTTCTCTCTCGCTGGCTCCGCTGGATAAAGTAGTGTGCCGCCACATAAAATGCTGATGAGGATTTACACCTGGGAATTGCGGCGGATGGGAGGAGGCTTAAGCAGTTAAAGTGGAGACGCCCATCCAGATATATTACCCACTTCTTAGCACGCAAGACCCAACCCACGCCTACACCCCCCCCCCCCCTCCGAACACGCACACATTTAACGCCTCATATAAAAATAACTATGAAAAGAAAATATCATGCACGAAGAGACCTCCCCCTCCCATCCCCGACCCAAAGTAATGTCCCAAATCTAAACATAAGTAATCAACAGCGCCTAAGGGTCTGAAAATTCACGGGCGCATTACTTCAGCCAACCTACTTTTATGTCTTTCCTAAGGTTATCTTTTAAATTTATTGACCGCATGCAACATAAACTTAAAATTGCATTACTAATTTGAATCAATTGCATTTATTTCCAAGTTGTTACTTTTCTAAATGAAAAGCCTCATTTCTCCTGTCTTATCATCAAAATGCAAATTTTAAAGCAGCTTCGCAGGTTTATCTATATACAACAGGAAATACCAACATTACTAGGTTTCAGTTACATTTTCCTTTAATCTTGAACTGAATTTTCAGACTTTCATTCAAAACCTAAACCTCAAACTCATTAGCGAAAAAATATTAACTTTAATTTAAAAAATATCTGTATAAATTTGTGCACTTTTTAGTCAAAAAAATAATAAAATAAAATATAAACATTATTTAGTCAGATGTGAAAGAAAATTGTGTTTGCGTTTAGAAATATATCTATTTTTGTTATAAATTGGGCCATTCAGAGCTTTTATGATTGAGCTCCATTGTGAACAGAGTCATCGGTCCGCAGAATGAAAACATCTCTAAAAATAAATCAAAAACCCAAAATGACCAATTCAAAGAGGCTATTCACTGTTGTTTCCAATTAGCGCCATACTGAAAGTAATCCTTCCAAGCTTGTCAAAATACGACAAAAGGCCCAAAAAGTAATTTCGAAAAGAAACCTGATTCAATTCTGTCTGCTGCCTTTGGAGAAATTTAAGGCATGAAAAGTGACGCCACAGGCTATGAAATTGATGCAAACTTGAGGTTATAAAATGGATTTCATCTCTAATCTCAGATTAGCTGCAAGACTTTCCCCAAAAATAATCATTTTCTGGATCTGAGACGAATTATAATACCCTTTTTGCTAGAGGTGCATGGCAAATTCTTGCATGTTTCAAAGGGAATTAAACCTGTTGTCGTCTATCGAAACAATAAATGTTAAATTTAAGATTTTAGAGAATCAATAACTTTTAACAGCTAAACACAATCAATTTGAAAGACAGTAGTGGACATTTGGCGAAGAATCCGGCAAATAAAACGACAGCCCAGTGAAGTCTACAAACATTCTACCGAAAAATTCGGAAGACAATTTTATCTGAAACATGATCACTGCTTCAATTATATAAATTTAAAATTAACAATTTATGAAGCTTACGTGTGAGCTTAGTTAGGGTTTAAAAACAAAAAATCAATTCTAGATGATTCAAACCTTGTATTTACTTGAAAAGGTTATTTTGAATTAAAAATAATTCAATTGAATCGCCTGATTTTGAATTGATTTTTCTGCAAATTGCAATATTTTGTCAAAGAACTTTCTCAACAAAAGTTTCTTAGCATTTCACCGGCGGTAACATAGAAAACTTTAACAAATGTGAATACAATAAAAAGAAAATTATGTCGCCTTAATGTCCTGTCGACTTATTTAGCTAGCTTCCCTTTCGCGACGTTCTTAACAAAGCAGACGCCTGATAAAGACTACATATTAGTTCATTGTTTCCGCCGCATTCGTTTATAAAAGGCATATTTTTTACGGCTAGTTAAGAACAATCCCAAGTTATTTGCTGCGATTTAATTTCTAAAATATAGATTGTAAAAAGCGGAGCCACTAATTACGCGCCTGCTGCTTTAATGAGGCACCTAGTCAATAAAATATTAACAGGAAAACAAAATGTCAGACAAGACAATTCATTATCATTTTTAAATGCGCTAATTGGTCGCCCCCCACTGTGAAAGAGATTTAGGGAGGGGGGGGGGGGGGGGGGGTTGCTTCAACTTGTCAAGCTCTAATTAGATCAGCACCGCATCCTCAGGTAAAGGAAAATTGGCTGAAATCTAACTTCTGAAATCTCAAAATGCAGACGCAATTAGCTTGATTACATCCGCAGCAAAATTTTGAGTAGGCGTAGCTCTATTCAGACTTTTTTAACAAAATTGATCGAAATTTTGCTTTGGCAGCCTAAATATTCGATAAGAGTAGAAATGCCTGTAATCAACTACGAAACAAAATAAATTTATCATGTTTCATGAGGCCAGTTTAAATGTTTACGAGTAGGAAATCATAATTTACTACCTGTGCAAACTTGCTTCTTTCATATTTCAAATTCTGTCTATAATATTTATTTTATTTTGAAGAAACTTAAAACCATACCAGTGTAGACGTATAGTCAAAAATTCGTATACTTTATAATCGTATAACCCTGCAGTACTCAATGAAAAAATCTTTGTTTCACAAAAAAAAAGAGTCGTCTATTATCGGTTTCGTGTAAATCTGAAATTTATCGTATAAGTCTGATCTCTCGTATAATCGTATAACCATATCTGAACCATACATTTTATGAAATTGTACGTTTAATATTTAGTTCGGTTTGGGAGAATACCAAAAAATCGTCAGCTTGTCGGGTGGAACATCTCCATATAGTTACTCAAGAAAATTACGAAGCGAAGCATAACGCCTAAGCACTCACTGTCTCGTGTAGCATTGAAAGAAAAGGTAATCTGAAAAGACTAACGGTAATTTTGTTACCTGTTAATTTATTCCTGTGAAACCGCTTAGATTTCAACCTTCTGAAAATGAATAACTTATTTTCAAGTAGAAAATTTGATAAGGAAACTGAAAATTTGAATTGAGAAATGCATTACAAAACTACAGATCGCATTTTATGTATTCATCTTGCACTTTTTAACATAATGTCAATACTAATGTACAAGAAAAACAAGAACAGGTATCCTAAGTTATTCAATTCAAAAATAAGAAACTTATCTCGGGGAGGCATAAAAATAGACATATAGATAAATCACATTGTTTTTTACGGACTGCAGAGGAAAATGTCAACATCAAATATCCTGCTATTAGATTAATGCAAAGCTGTGCGTCCAGTCTTTTTTTTCTTAACGCCAATAAAAAGAAAAACAAGTTGAAACAAAAAGCACCAACAGCAGTAATGATTCTGGTTTTATCATTTTCCACTAAATTATTACCGACAAGTTGAAAAAATTAACATAACACAGGTAATAATACAAATGTTATTGCTTTCTCCGTGTAAGCAAGATTTAAAAGAAAGGTTTGTCTGTTCGACGGTTAAATTCGGCATTGTATGGTTATTGGTGGTCTTGTCTAGTATTGTTATCTAATATCTAAACTATAAAGAGCGAAAAGTTGAAATAGAGCAGCGTTGTTCTGTTTGTGAACTAAAATGCATTCGTCTAAGAGATAAAAACAGGAATATTTACATTCCAAAATTTTTGAAAACGATCACACGCTTGACATTGATTATTTCGATTGTGTGTAACCCTGTTAAAATTGAGCAGATTTCATCTGATATTTTACAATTCAAATCAAACACTACAGTTTATAGAGAGTTTTTCAGAGTTTGTGCCATTTTTTCCGCCCGGCTTTCAAGCTTCGGTGACCTGACGCAAATTGCAGCTTCCAAAATGTTCCCAGATAAATTTTGCTACAAGTCGTTTCTCTCCATCTACTGCGCAAAATTGCTCCAGGAAACATTGTCGCGCCGCCTTTAGACGAATGCGGCTCCCGGAACTGTGTTCAGTTGTGCTTTCCGTCCCAATGCACCGGGATGGTTGGTTGCATTGACGATCGAGGTAACTCCGTTGACACCTTGTGCCCCGTTTCCGCCTCCTTGAGGGCTATTAACCGCAGTCATTTTCTTAGACATTGCCACTGCTTGTTGTGCGTTGCCAGCAAATAGCGGGTTGTTGCTACCTGCTGTCGATACTGAGTTCATGCAGAGTACATTTCGCCAGGAGTCAAATGTCTTCTTAGACCAGAGCCAGAAACTGGACGTGACTCCGACTGCCAATGTGACAAAGTACCTAAAGAGGAACACGTAGAAATTGGCTGTTGTTCGCGAGTTCGTTCCTGGATCCGAAAAGAAATCGGAGCCTCCCGACTGGATTGCGCTTCGTGATGACTGTGAGTAGAAGCACTCTTCATATTCGCCCACATTCTGGTACGAAGCACAGTTGGAGTGCCACCAGTTTCGCTGCCAACTCAATCTGTATTTGTACTCGTATAGGAAGCAGCTTATAAGCATAATAGCAGGAGCCATGTAGAACAAAGAGAACACTCCAATTCTTATCATCAATTTTTCCAACTTATCCGTTCGATCGCCGTTCTTCTTAATGAAGTGTCTCACTCGACACAGAGAGACAAATCCAAACACAAGGAATGTGAACCCAATAGCCAGCGAAACAACGAGAGGTGCCAGTACAAAGTAAAGAGTAAATTTGGGGTTGAGCATTCCAGTGAAGCAGGTGCCCGAGATGTCGTCGCCTTCGATTCCATGAAAAAAGGGCACCAGAAGCGTTAGAAACAAGGGCACGACCCAAGCGAATGCGTGGAACACGAACGCTTTTCTCTCTATAGCTTCGTGAGACCATTTGAGACCGGCGGCCAGTAACCATGTAAATGTGAGCACAACCCACCAGAGTGAGCTGGCCATTAGGCAGTAGTAAAGAAGAAAAAAGGAAAGAGCGCACAGCACGTTCGATTTTAGACCCTGTGAGACGATTTCTGCTGAAGGTGGGGCTGAGTTGCGGCCACTGCCACTGTTAGATGAGGTTATAGACGGGGACTGAGCAAGATGATCAGCAGAACAGCTGATGGATTTTTGGCCGAAGAAGCCGATGAAAAAGGTGAAAGAAATAAAGACGTAACAGAAAGCCATGAACATGATTGGTCTTTCTGGATACTTGAACCTTCTTCGGTCCACTAGGTAAGTAGCAAAAGTAAACAATGACGAGATGAAGCAAACAAACGACCAGCCGCCAATCCAGTACCGAGCGATATCGTAGTCTTTCGATGAGAATAGAACCTCTTTGCAAGGCGCACTGCAATCTTTTGCGCCCAGGAAAACATAGCCTAAATCCTTTTTAGTTTTCAACCTATTCGGACATTTGAAGTCTTCGTTTTCGCTTTTACTTCCGTCGTCAACTGGCTGCTTGTTCGAACCCCCAGCACTGCCACCCCCTCCAGTTCCTCCCGTTTTACTTTCATCGACTCCGGCAGGTCCCGAGTGTTCCATATCCATCGGCGGCACGCACATGTTTTTCGCATTTTTCACCGCCCCATTTTCATCGAACGGTGAGCTCGGGAAAATGTTACAATCGTAGGGCCAGTTGAACCCGTATGCATTCATACTGGCCTCGCATCCGAATTGCACCTGCTGACACAGCTCCTTGCAGGGTGGAATGATGTAAGACTTGGGATTGGGCACGGCGGGATTGGGTTGTTGTCTTGTGCATATGGGCAGTGCTAGCGAACACAGAAAGCGCTCTGTGTTACTCGAACATTTGAGTCCGATTAGGGGTTGGAAATTTCCCATCCAGAAAGTAGTTGTCAAAGAGTTTGTCGGGTGGCCGAGGAGGTTAGTTTTGTAAGTAGTGTTCCATTCGATTCCTGCACAAATCGTGCTCGTGTCTGAGTCTGATTTGCCGACAGTTGAAGACAACTTGCTTTTCAGAATACATTCTCCGTCAACTGGCGCTTTGGTCAGTGACAAGTCAAGTTCCGTTAGAGTAGCCGTGCTATCACCTCCGGATCCGCTGCCTCCCGGAGGAACTGCTAAAACTACTGCGTAGAGTAAAGCCAAAAGAACCAGTAAAGCTAAAGAGTGGCTAATAATTTGCTTCATTTTTAGGTAATCAAACCAAATCAATAGAAGCAAAATCTAAAATAAGCTAATTTGGGAGGAAAGTTTTCAAGCAGTAAAGCCAAAATGTGGCCAAAAACCAATTGGAAATTTTGTGCACACCATGCAATAAGTATCTGAAAATAGTGAAAATATTTATCGGCTGCGATAGATTTTGAAACTGGTAAGTTTTTGATTTTTACTTCGCGAGTAATAAATAGCAATTTAGCGGAGCAAACAATTCGACGTAAGAGGAGGCAAGGCAACTAGCTCAACTTGAACTATTAAATTAAACCGATTCAACTCAGACTGAAGCAAAAGTACAGCGAGCATAGAATTTGCAATAATATTATTCAAATACAATTCATTCTATATATTATTCTACAGCATTGAATATTTCGGAGCTATTTGAATGGCTAGAGTAGAAGGTGACTTCTTATTGGTCCAAAATGGTTTTCAGCATTTTAAAATAAGATTCAATAAAATATTTTTAAAAATACATTATGGTATTATAGTGAGCTGAATGTGCAAAATATAAAAGAAATATCCCGTCAAATTTATTGTTTCGATCACCAAAATTGGTCTCAACAAACATTACACTGAGCATAAACACTCCGTCACTTTCATAAAGAGACAGAACAATGATAATATCGCTCAGCGAATAAAGAAATTTCCCAACTTTTGTCAAATTGTTTGACAATTGAAAATGACCTATCAATTCTTTTTCCAGCGAAAATACACAAGTTTAACCCTTTTTCACAAATTTTACCTTGAGGTTTTTCAAGACGATATAAATCAAAACCTTGAAAAAAAATTTCAAGTCCTATATCGAGATGAGAAGAAAATACGTATTTTGAACCATAAAACAATCTTCAATATTTCTGAAAGTCCAAAACATCAAAACTCAAAACTAGGCAGAATCTAAACGTTGCATCGAGCGAAAAGAAAATCGTTTGCTGTGCAAGTACATCACAATGTTCCGACCAACAGTCAGCATCTCTTTTTAAATATTTTTGGGATGGCCTACACAAAGTATGAAACGTTACTTTACTTCAGTTTCTTGTTTTTCTACCGACAACTCTAGATTAGGATCAGTTTTGTCCATTTTTCCAGCCAATTTTGACTTCCTCAAAGGCGTCAAATGTGTTAACACATCAAAACTTTTTGTCGTGATTCAGATTCTTAAAAACATCAAAAAAGTTCTGTGTGTCGAGAAAAATTTGTCATTGTTTTCGTTTTTCTTAACAAAAATTGAGATGCTGGCCTCCAACAGCGTTATAATAATAACGTTACAATTTATCAGGAAAATAATTGTAACAATCTAAGGTTATTTCATCAATGGTATTTCTCAAATTAGCGGATTTTCATCACGTTCAGTCGTCCCTTCCTACAAAAAAAATCGGAATTGTTGCTTTACTTTTGAATTTCTTCTCTTCTATTAGTGAGATTCGAACACTCTGCGCTACTTGCACATCAACCAGCTGTCCTCCTTCTTCATAGACGTTATAGAAATCAAAGAAGTGAACTTAGAATCAAAAACCGTTTACTAAAAACCGAACTGACTCTCAAAAAAACGAACTGACAATCAAAAAATGATTACTATTAATTAACGCTTTTGTGATAAGCAATTTACACTACCCAACAGTACTCTTAAGCGGTTTAACAACGAATCCAACAATATCCCTTGAAAAACAACTGAGCTGGGCAATTGAGACCTGCTGTGATAGAAGAAAATTTGATTCTTCGTCTGATCTTAAGCTTAAATCCAATATGCTAACAGATTCAATGTTTCTTGATTGGAACTTAGACTGTCACCTCTGCAAAATCAAACATAATCTAATATCAGCATACACAAAAATCAAGTACGAGAACAACACAATTGACAAAAACAAAAGAACTAAAAAATTGTATTTGCGTAAAAGATTCAAGTCACTATCAAAAACAGTTTTTACGGAAAATCAGCTGTTTTACTTCGGAACTAAATTAAAAACGCAAAAGCAAACACTACGAGATTAGCTTAACTGATAAGACTAAAAAATTTGTGTTTAAGAACAATTTTCTATCTTGCGGTGAAGATCTCTCTATGGCAACCTATGGAAAAACATCATGGAAACAATTTAAACATATCTCATTAGAAAGTAAATATTGTTATCATTACATTCTGTAAATAGGTATTACGCTAAGCAAAATTTGTCTGACTTGCACTAGCATCATAACATTAGCTATCGTTTGGCCAATCAAATTCTACGTCTAACACAGTCTCCATTCCGGCAATAAGAGCTAAACTTGATATCTGCTACGATTTTGTCCAACATTCGGAACAAAAAATGAAAAATCTGTAAGATTTGGCAACAGCGTTAACTCAAACTTGACACCTCATGAAAAAACTGATAGCCGTAAAATATTGAATTTTGGAGAGAGCATGATAGCTTCCCTAGACGTGGGCGGTGATAGCTGGTTTGTGAAACCCAAAAACAAGAAAAATCCCAAGGAAAAAATGCACAAAGATTTGCAACGAGGTCGCTGTCAGCACTGTAGTTCAATTTGTTAAGAAAGAAAGGTCAATTAAAATGGGCCCATCCGTCATGCGACGATACGTGCACAGGTTGGATAGGGCCGTACGAACGCTTTATAAATACATCGGCAAAATTTTATGAATAAATCAAGTCGATATTAATGCATCAAGAGAATTGTCAATTAAAATCTACTCTCCTCGATTATAGCTAAGATAGAACTGTCTATGTTGGATGTATTTTTAAGATTTTTGCACCCCCTAAGGCAGAAGATTGCACTCCTCAGAAGTGCAAAATTTATTTCTGCTTTTATAAAGTTAATTGTGTCCGAATATGATTAGTTCCGTTTCTCGTTTAGTTTCTCTGCTAGTTTCTGGGTGGTTTTTGTAAAGCCTGGTGATGCTCCTCCGGTACATGCAGGAATTAGTGGAACAAAGCTACTGTGTTCCACATCCAGAATTCTTTGTTTTGTTTTAATGTTTTGACATTCTCATGATATTTGTTGGCGTCAGATATAGTTTTAGGACAGGATTTAGAATGGTGGTTGAAAATTTTTACATCGAAAAGTAGTGATTGTTTTGTTGTGAAAGCTTTCACCTTCCAATGATTGAAGTTTCGGCTCTATTTCAACATCATGGCATACTTCGTCCAGGAGTGTCGCGAAGGTATCGCGAATTTCATTATGTCTTAGGTGAGTGTATCCACTTTGGGACAATGTAAAGAGTGAGTCAGTGTGAATGATGTCCACATGGGTATAAAGGTGGCGTGTTTGTTGGTTTCCATCCATATCTCAGATGTAATCCATCTTTCAATTCTGATTTGTTGAGGGAAAAATTGTATTTTTTAAGGGTAGCACGCTTAGCCAATTCGATGCTTCTTTCTGTGAGGCTAAACATATTATCACTTTTTTTTCTGATGAGCAGTTTTCCATAATTTTAGCCTCTTTTGAGAGTGTGACGTTCTGTCTTTCAGTTTTGATGATTTTTTTCATCAGAGTTTGTTCCGTTTCAGTTATTCCTGGATCACTGTTTTCTAACGTATCAGGGGGTTTTTGTATCACCAACTATGTTATATTCTATAATATCACTGTATATCATTAGGGAATGTATTCTTATAATGTCGTAAGAATACTGAGGATAATGTGGCCCTTTTCTTTTCATTATAACCCCTGTTTGACTTTGTTCTAAATCACAACCAAAAATATGGCTCAAATCAGCACTCTGAATCATAAACATTGATTGACTCTCAGGTAAATGAACAGCAACTTTTTGTGTAATTTTATCTACTGATACATAGATTCCGTTATATTCAAAAACTTGAGCACCTAGACGTTCTCGAATTTTGTTGTTCATAGCTACAACTATATCAACAATACTTGGATACAATCCTGGTTCAATGTTCATGGGTACAATCTTTCTTTTCTCCTCAGAACTTTCTCTACCATCTACGAATGTAAACTTTCCCTCTGTAACAGTTTGGTACAAAGAAGGGTATGATATTTCTGAAATAGCAACCTCCCATTCTCCTTTCAAATGTATTTGTTCGGGTAGAAATTTTGTAAAAGAACTGAGACTATAATTCGGATAACAATTAAAAGAAGCGTTGAAAACCAACTCAATGGTGAAAGAATCATTGACAACTGATCGATAGAAATTTAGTTTAAAAAAAGATTTACGTTTAATCAGAACATTTTCTTATAATCAGCTCTTTTTCATAAAATTTTCCCAAAATTTCCTCTTTGTCGAGATCTTTGATGAAGTATGTAGGAGTTTTTTTTGTAGATTTTGCCGAAATTTCAAAAATTTCATCTGTAAATTGTGGTTTATATCCTTTTCGGAACGGAATATCATTCTTTGAACTTCTCACTCTGTCTCCAACTTTGAATTTTAGTTTCTTATACCTTGTTAGAGGTTTATTGTAATTGAGAGGAAATCAGTATTCTTGACATCTCTAGGTGATTTCCCAATAGATCTATTGATGCGACAATTCATTGTAGACACAAATTGTAATTGAGAGGAAATCGGTATTCTTGGCATCTCTAAGTGATTTCCCAATAGATCTATTGATGCGACAATTCATTGTAGACACAAATTGCGGCAACTTGTTAATGATTTTTTCACCATGATCTTCTATGAAGCGGTAAATAATGTGTTTTAATGATTGAATGGCTCTCTCTGCAAATGCAGCTTTTGTTTCACTCATGGTCGAGTAAACTTCAATGCTTTTTTTCTTGCAAAATTTTTGAAAGTTCCTCCATATTCCGTTCTTTTATCAACCCAAAGCTTTTCAGGAGTGTTTGTTCGAGAAATCATTTTTAGAAAGCTTGCAAAATGTCTTTGGCATATTTAGTTTTCATTGTTTGAACTCTGACAAACTGCGAAAAAAAATATCAACAGCAACCAATAAATATTTGACTCCCTTGTTTTGACTCGCTAGTTTGTCCACAAATGCCAAATCTATACACCAAATTTCATTTATATATTTTGAAAATGCTTGAAGCCTTCGGAAACGTCTGATTGGGGGACCAATTTTTGTATACGATGTTTTGGTTTGTAAAAACTGTTCTACTTTCTTTTTTGACAATCAGCTTGCTTTACTCAAGTTTCGCAGAGAACCGTACGCAGCTCTACCCCTAGAATTCAATATGTTCAGACTTACCTTTTCAGATTTTGAAAAGAATCCAAGTTCCTCTGTCTTTCGCTTTGGCATTCTTGTTGGCAACAAGTTTAGGTGGAATTTGAGTTGCTTCCAAAATGGCAAAGTAAATATCGGGAAAGTCCGTATTTTTTCGTTTTAGTGCTTACACAAAGTCTACAATTGATTCTTTTGTGTCTCGATTATCTAATATGATATTTTTTGACCGACTTAGTCTAATTCTAGGAGAATTCAAAATTAAATCATTAAGGTGCTAATTGTTACT